TTGCATTTGCGCTGCGGCTTTTGCATTTGCGCTGCGGCTTTTGTATTAGTGCTGACACCTCTAGACCACTATAGTTATAAGCCTCTCCAGGATTCATTTTGCTGCCATTTGTTTAATAAATAGTGCAGAGGCGCTCAAGTCTGGTCCTCAAGAGCTACCATCCTGTAACTTTTAGATGCATCTTTTCTCTAACAAACCTGAATTGAAAGGCTCAATCTTCTGCTTTAGCCCAGCAGATGGGTGGTAAGGAGCCACTCGTTTGATTCATGTGTGTTGAAAATGGGGTGCAATAAAAAGTTGCAGGACAGTAGCTCTTGAGGACTGGAGCAACCCTGAAATAGTGCAAAGTGGAAGTGGGGCCCAGAATCAGGTGTGGTGAGCATCCAGGCTTACCCATAGATCTGAGCATAGGATACAGAAATGTGATCCGAGAGGTTCTGGATCAGCAGACGGTCTATCGCCTCCTCCAGATTGGGCCAGTGGTTTTTCCTGTAGTCCTCTATAGCCATTGCATTCAACACTGGGGAAAGAAAGATGGTCAGACACGTAAACGCATCACTTTGGTAGTAAATAGAACCGCTAGGCCAGGCTGGGGGGAGACCGCAGCTCAGGGGCCCCGTTTGCCAACTTACGGAACTTGGAAGTAGAATCGAGGCTGAATTTCTCCTCGCTGTTAGCAGCAGAGCATTCTGTTTCGCTAACTTCGCTGCTATCGCTGCCTGAATCCGAGTCCATGAACTTCGACCCACAGGGAGAAGGGGACCACGGCTCCCCCCGTTTCATCGCCGGTTCTCCTCCCGGTGCAACGGAACAAACGGGCTGAGAGACTCCCATTCCGCCCGGTACCTGGCTGCTAAGCGCCGGGGTGGCTTTACCGTCGCCGCTGCTCCTGCGGTGGTTGTGGTTGTGGTCGTCTTTAACCTCCGAGCTGTCGTCCTCCATGGCCTCCATCTTTACGGTTTGCGCTGAAGGCCAAAGCCGAGCAGAACTACAGAAACATGTCAACAGAAACAAGTGAAAACAAACAATAAACTCAGCCCTGCTCGGTGCCGTAAATCCCCTTTCAGCTTTGGGCTCACATTTTACGACACTTGCAAAAGCTTTTAGTAAAAGTAGAATTTTTTTTTAAAGATAACTAGGAAATGCACTTGCCCAAACTTAATTAATAATATAAAGTTGACATTAATTTATTGTGAACAAAATGTCTAATCCTTCTCAAAATACCTAGAGATTTAGTGAGTTTTTTGCAGATTGTACCACATTTTACGACACTTGGAGTCAAAGTAAGACTTTGGTGAGGAAACTGGGAAATGTAGTTCAAAGCATGTGATCTGGTTCCTATAGAGCAGCAAAGAAAAAAGTAAAAATCTAACTGAAAAGTTCAAAAGTTAATAAGCCTAGTTAACAATTACATTTAGGTTTATTAACTAACAAAAAAATTGTACCAAAAAATGTTTTTCTATGTGTTTTTCATGAATTTCTTACAGAAGCAATTTTGTTATTTTTCTTAATATATTCAGGCAAGTTGGCATTTCTTGTTTTTACATTGACGTTAATTTTTTGCCATCAAAATATCCATATTTTATTTATGTTACAAAGGTAATAAGGTCTAGTCCTGGATTCCAATAACACTATTGGCTTTATTATATTTATCATATTATATGTATTATAAAGGATTAATAGTGGCTAAAATTGATATAAAGAGCTAAATAATATACTATAAAATAAATATAGATGGATAAAGATGGATAAGAAGGACATTTAAAGTTTTAGAGCCATTTTTCTTTTAATTAGCTTGAAATTGATGTGTTTTAATATTATTTCAAAAGCCAAAAATACATAAATTGTAGGTTGTTTAAGATGGCATCTAATTCCCTATACAAGATAATAACAAGAAAACAAATACACTAAAAAGAAATAATGCAACTGTATTTACTTAATCATATTTAGTTATTAACACAATCGTTTCATGTTAGCAGGGTAGGACATAAAAAAATTGTGTTAAAGTAACTAAATATGATTAAGATTGGTACAATCTGCAAAAAAAAGTCATTAAATATATAGGTATTTTGAGAAGGATTAGAAATTTTGTTCACAATTAAGTGACGTTAACTTTGTATTATTCATTTTTCTATCCATACCTGTCATACTGTAATATTGTTTGGGCAAGTATATTTCCTAGTTATCTTAAAAAAATCCTACTTTTACAAAAAGATTTTGTTCATTTAGCAACATTTTCTAAAGTTGATGCAGCTAGTGCTCCCCTTTTCTCCAAATTAAAGCTGTTTAATATTTATGAAATTAATATTTATCAAACTTTTACTTTTGTTTTTAAGATAAAACAAGGTCAGTCTCCTGATAGTTTCAATAATTATATTGTTAAGTCCATTCTTATAATACTAGACAAGCTTTGCCTCTTCATTTACCATTAAGTAATTTTCTTTTTCGGTATCGTGGTGCAAAACTATGGAATGAATACGGAAAATATTTGGAATCTTCAGAGATAAAAGGTAGAAAGTCTTTGAAAAAGATACTGTTATCCAAAAAAGACAGTGATGTAAGATTTTACAAATATTGACTCCCTGAAATCTGAAAGCTAAGATTTAAATCTGAAAGTTAAAATAACGTTACTGTACATGTCTTTTCTGTTTTCTCATGTCTTTCATAATGTAAGCTGCCTGATGTTTTGTTGTTTTCGGGGTGCTGCCTTTGGTATATGCCCTATGGGGTTTCTGTCACACTCCGTCACATTTCTTATTTTAAGTGATGTATTCTGAGTTTCTATTTTGATTTGTGAAAAAAATATATATATAAATAAAAAGCCAAAAGGGATTGCATTATTTTTTTTAGTGTAGGATGTTTTTTTTTTTGAAAAAGTCATACTTTGCGGCTCTAAACAACTTTTACTTGGATCGGACTCGGGGCAAAATGGCTCTTTGGATATGTAAGGTTTCAGATCCCTGCGATACAGGATACAATAATGAGACATAAACCAACAATATCTTTA